ATGAGAATACGTTATGCAAATTGAAGTGCAAATGTTCCGTCTGGGCCCACAACCAGGCTGGGGCAAAAAAAAAAAAAAGAAAGAAAGAAAGAAATCCACGTCTTCCTTGAATAATTGCTTGGCTGTATACCTCAGGAATCCAGAGCCATGCTGCCCAGACTGCAGGTGTGACCTAGGGCACTCAGAGCCATTCAGAAAGCAGCCAGTTGAAAGGAGCAAAAATAAAATTGTTTGGGTGAGAAACTGAGAAGCAATGAGGCCCGTCATTTTCCAATGTATATTTAATCTGATTTCATCATGTGCTCATCTGGGTAAACCATCCTTTAGAGGAGGTTTCCAGCGAGCTGGGGGATGGCTCGCGTACGTTACTCACAGAGAACGCCGCTACACCCCCTCCCCCTCTACTACACGTCTAAGCTTTCCAGGAGGCTCTGCAGAGACACAGAGAGAGGCAGGATAGCAACTCAAGCACACATGCAGGATTCTTTCAAACAATCCAAAAATAGGTAAGCAGAAAGCGGTTGGTGTTTCAGGAACCTACATAAGCTCTGAGGAAGAATGAAAGGAAGACCTTCCCGTGTGAACTGTCATATGAAATGACCTTAGTAGGAAAAATCAAACCAATCACCATGACTTAAGATGTCACAGGTAAAAACGGCCTATGACCCCGAGGTTTCTCCCCTCTAAAACTTTTGCTCTCAGCAACAACACTAGCTTATGCTGCAGACATCCATAACTGTATTTATTCTCTTTCTTGCTAGATTTTAACTTTCTTGAATGCAAGAATCAAGCCCTGGAGTCATCAGAAAGCTCTGTGTCTTGCAAGTCAGTTGTCCCGAGTTCAACCTCTGGGTCTGAGTTAAAAGTCTAGAAGTCTGGCTACAGTGGTGAGAATCTGTAATCCCATCACCTTATGGGGGGAGATGGGAGGCCAAGAAGGAAAGCTGCCCCAAAGCTGGCAGAAGAGTGGGCCTGGAGTATATAGCAAAGAATGAACTAGAGAGATCCTGCTTCAGTGGAGGGGAAGGAGAGGGCCAACTCCTGAAAGGTGTACTCCATACATATATGCTCCATGGCTCGCTCGGTCTGTCTGTCTCACAAACAGCAACAGCAGCAGCAGCAACACCAAAATTTGTAGCATTGATGAATATGACATCAGGGGATATATTAATGAGCGGCATGCCATTCTCACATTTAAGCCAACATACCACAGTCATGTTGGTAAGAGCAAGTTCTGATCTAGAGATCAGTCAATATTAGCCAGGCGTCTCCTCCTTTTTTAAAGAGGCTAGTGATCGGAAGAAAGGGGCTTGTTATATAAAGGGGACGTTATATAAGGAGAGATTCAAACATGCGCCCTTGGAAGTCCTTCCATGCTGAAGAGCTGTCCACTAAAAATAATCAGACTTATTAGGAAACCGTGACTGGGGGAGACTGCTCGGTACATATGGGAGTTCGCAGCTCGGCTAAACAGTTAAACCCCAGGCTGCAAATGCACCCGGAACTCTGCAGCCCTAATACTTCCTGAGTCTTCTGTAAGACGTGGCTCTTGGAATGGGGATACAGCTCACTGGTGGAACACAAGGCCTGGGTTTGAACCTCAGTACTGGAAAAACAAAACAAAACAAAAAGTCCACTACCACCAGGAAGATGGGTACAAGTGCAAGTCGGACAACCTGAACTGGATCCCTGGATTCCCCAGTGGAAGAGATAACTGACACCTGAAGGCTGTCTTCTGGTCCCACATGTACACCATGACACTTGTGCCCTACCATCACATACACACATGCACACAAACACATACATATATACTTACATATACACACATACACGCACACACAAATAGTAAACAAAGAATTCCATATACTTCTCATTTTCTCCTTCTTAGTCTGCATATTTTGGTAAGCCCAATGTGCTGAAAAACCTTGACTGATTATTGCAGAAAAGCCACGCTGGAACCATGCTAATGTTTTGGACAGAGCAACTTCATTTCCAAAGGCACCTGAAGCGATTATGCCGGAGAAAGACATTTGGCAGAACAGCCAGACTGGTACTGGCACGTGTGACCTGAGCTCCCCTTAGGCACAGCTGTCACAGAAATGAGGACTGGTGACACGGATGGAAGCTTACTTTGTCTCCGCACGATGTTAAACACTTTACCTGAGCTGTCTAATTTTTTCATCACCTAGACTCTATGAAGCTCAAGAAACAAGTTAGTTAATAAGATTAAATATGAACCTCGGCCGGACTTTAAAAAGCTCGCAAAGCCAGGATCTGAGCCTAAATCTTCCTGACCGGTGACCTCAATTATTAATACCAACAATGGAATGCTGCCTCTCACCCTGAAAGCGTCAAATGACTCAATGATGTTAACTGGCCATGCAGCGCCATGGTCTTTGCCCAGATGTTGCTTTTGATTGACATGCTATATATCTTCAGGAAACCACAGAAAGACACAGGTGACCAGACTTAACTTCTCTGGCACGGACGAGAGGAACTTTCTCGACATGGCCTGCTGGGCCAGCAGTCACTGCAAGGACTCAGCCTATGAAAGAACCATGGGATGTTCACACCACTCACCCATCTGAATTCCACACAGGGTATCTGCCTGGAATGTCTGGGGAGTCTGACAGCTGAGGCTGTCATACATTGAGAGCCAGGACTTCGCTGGTGCCAGCAAGGGGACTTCTGGTGCTAACCTGTTCTTCTTTTCATTTCAACTTTACCCATAACAATGGACTGAACACTTAACTGCGTACTGAGAATTAACCGTGGCAAGTGTGGGCTACAAACCTGAATGTCCCAGCAGCCCTCCCCAGCTGCAGGGCCAGCCACAGGCACCACATTGAGGAGACGCATGCTTCCTGGGATCTGAATGTATTACACATTGGGTTCTTACAGCCCTGTTGTGTACTGAACAAGGCTCTGCTCACTGCACCAATGAGAGACTACGGTGAGGCAGGCTTACGGAATTTCTACCGTCACAGAGATGGCGAGCCTGTGGTGAGCTGAGATGTGAGCCCAGGCTGCCTGTGCAAGGCCTGGCTGCTTGACCTCGACCCTAAAGCCATTGTCTTGTGGGAGGAGACAGAGACAGATTTATGGAAGTACAGTGTGAACAATGAGAATAAGAGAAGAAAAGAGAAAGAAACGGATGCAAATGTTATTCTGGTTTATTTTGTGAGCTTGATACAGTCATTGGGAAGACAGAACCTCAGCTAAGAAGGTGTCCCTACTAGACTGGCCTGGAGGAAAGCCCTCGGGTCATTTTATTGACTAGTAATTGATGTGAGAGGGCCCCAGTTCACTGGAGGCCGTGCTACCCTAGGGTAGCTGATCCGAGGTGAAAGGTTGCGTGAGCCATAGGAATAAAGCCAGTAAGCACTGCTTCCCACTGGCCTTTGCAGCATCAGCGCCTGCCTCTGGTTTTTTGCCCTGACTTCCATCAGCTCTGGCCTGTTAACCCGGAAGTACAAGAGGAAATAAGCCCTTCCCTCTCCAGTTTGCTTTTGGCTATGGTGTTTTATAATAGTAACAGAAACCCTAAAACAGATATATACAGTAGAATACCGGTAAAGGGGAAGGTGACTAACTAACTAATCCCATGTGGGGTGGGAAGGAGGATGGCTGGCATTCTTGGAAAAATTGCCAGGTTGGCAAAGCCAGGTAGCAGTAGCTATCAAGGTTAGCGGAGGAACAGCCTGGGTGAAGGCATGGAGGTGTGGTGCGTATGTTGTTTGGTGAAGCCACCCTACATGTTTCAACAGTTGGAAAGTCGGGCAGGTGAGACAAGGCAGTAGAAACAGAGTCAGGCTCCCAGAAAAGACAGGATACAGGATCGAGTCACTTCACTGACTTGGCCTTATCAGGAAGGATGTTTTTATGTGGGACACAAGGAAATAGGCTTTCAGCAGTAGAGGAGAGTGACTGGATTCACGTGTTTGAATCTGTGAACAAGATGGAAGGGCGGGGAAGAATTGGAGCTCACTTGTAGTGATAGTGAGGGAACCAAGGGAAGGGGGACAGGCATTAGAGCAGAGGTCACGGCAGCAGACTTGTTAATTCAGGGGGTGTCTGATTTGGGAGGGGGTGGGATGGCACTAGGGGTGCGGAGGTTTTATTCTTTTTTTTTTTTTTTTTTTTTTTTTTGATTTTTCGAGACAGGGTTTCTCCATAGCTGTTGGTTCCTGTCCTGGAACTAGCTCTTGTAGACCAGGCTGGCCTCGAACTCACAGAGATCCGCCTGCCTCTGCCTCCTGAGTGCTGGGAATAAAGGCGTGCGCCACCACCTCCCGGCTGGGAGGTTTTATTCTTAAGAGTGAAATCTGATTCTTAGGAAACCGTCCATGGTCGAGGTCAGCTGGGTTTGTAGCAGGGAACACAGACACAGACGGAGAGCGATTCTGCATTTACAGACTCAGGACATCTGACAGCAGTTCTAACTGAGGCTTGCTGCCATGATTTTCAGCGACCTCTGTGAAGTGTCAAATCCCCCACTGAAGGAAAAACCACCCTTGCTTTGCTGGTGACTAACCACCAGCCTCACACCACATGGCACACGTCTGCCTATAGGCTCAGGCTACTGCTGACAGATAATCTCCACTTGGTGTTCACATACCATAAAAATGGCCTTTCATCTCATGTTACCTTATTCCTTGAAGGACTATTAAAAGATCTTTCAACATCAATTGAGAAAATTAAGACGGAAAAGGCTACATTTCCAAGCTTATATTGTTTTCCCCTATCACCCGGCACATTTTTTTTTTTTTAGTTGTTGCTGTTTTGTTTTTTTTCTTTCAGTTTTTGGTGACCTAGAGATCAGTTCCCAGATCCATGCAGGACAGAAACAAATGGCCTCAGGCGGTTGGTGGTGGTGGAATAAATGGGGCTTGGGGTAGGGGTAGGTGAACGAGGGCAGCTGCCTTTCCAGGAAGTTGGTGAGGGAAAGAATTCTGTTGAGGAAAGAATGAGGAAAATGGAAGAGGGCAAGGATCACTTACTGATACAAGAAATCAGGTCATTAAACCTTTCCTTGGGAAAGAGGGGGTTTTCCAGCCCCCGGAAGTAGAGCTTCAGAACTCCGGCCACAGAGTTAATGTCGTGGTTGCTCTGGTCATCGGCCAAAGGATTTTCACCTAAAAGAGAATTCGTTATATACACAGCACTCTTTTTTTTTTTTTCTCTCAACAAAAACCTGAGTGTATACTCACACACACAGGGACATATGAGTCTTTTAATTATGTCCTCTGAAAGATTATATGGTACTAAAATTGAAATAATTGGTTTAGATATCCTACCCCATGATTAACCTAAAAATAGCTGGTTAAAATAAAGCTTAAAAAAGTCTTATGCTACCAAACACTCCCTTAGAACTCGCCCAAATCTTAAAATAAAACATTGTAGGGTTTATAATTTTACCCAGCATCTTTTTTATAAAGCTAAATTCAGTAAGCTTAGGTTGACATGAACTAGGAAAAACTACATTCAGCGTTTCTTATTTGCCTGGGAGAGAGATACAGTTGAGGTTGGTCTGGCTATGCAACGCGGGTCAGCAGCATTTTCCAGAAGTACCAGACATGGGCTGCAGACACCTGCACTAAGACAGCAGCTGTTTGTGGAGGTGGCATGGTGGGCTGATGGCATATTTGAAAGCCGCCTTCAACAGTGGGAGACTCTGGGGCCAGGGGAGGAGACTTGACAAATAAACCCTTACTCATTCCCAGGACTTTGTGTGAAAAGTGAATGTTAAAAAAAAAAAAAAAAAATGGCCCAAACAGAACTATAGTTTCCTTTAGGGCAAATGGGTCTAAGATAATATCCGGCTCCTTACCCTCCCTCCCTGGGAAAGAATATGAATCAGATTCCTTCAGAGCACAGCATGGCACAGAGATGTACATCAAACTCCACTGTGCACTGGCAGGCCTGGCCTTCCTTCCCACAGCTCACAGAAGAGTCATTACACCTAACACAGGCTTGCCTTTGGGGGAGCTTATTCTCGGGGGGGGGGGGGGGTCTGCTTCCTCCCTTCCCTGTTTTATAGGGCAGAAAATTGCTGAGCATGAACTCAGCAGAATCACTTGTATTATTATTACTATTACTATTATTATTATTTACTCTTATTATTTGTTTTGCCCTTTGAGAGAAAAATCTCACCTAGGTATTCAAAATCAAGAGGAACTTCCAAGGTTAAATAACAAAGTATTCATTTGTCTGTGGCGGCCACAAAGAGCTCTGTGTGCACTTAGCCACTTCCACTGGCCCTCACCACAGGTAGGAGGCGTGGCATGCTTAGCCGCTGATGGGAGATGGGAGACTGGTCTGTCCCACGTGTATCGGAGACTTGGAAACCAGAAAAGGACATTGTGGTGCCAAGTTTACCTCTTCAACCAAGGTGTCCAACTTCAAAGGGCTCTATGGCAATGTTAGATCAGAGACAATAGGACACACAGGGAGATGGCAGAGAACTCCATGCTATCACCACTCTGCATTTCTGCTCTGACTGACTTCCAAGCAGAGGGAAGGCACAGATAAAGATGCAATGCAAATCATGATAGTTGGCAAGTGTTAATAACCAACAGCAGCTGGGCGGTGGTGGCGCACGCCTTTAACCCCAGCACTTGGGAGGCAGAAGAAGGTGGATTTCTGTGAGTTCGAGGCCAGCCTGGTCTACAAGAGCTAGTTCCAGGACAGGCTCCATAGCTACAGAGAAACCCTGCCTCGAAAAACAAACAAACAAAAAACCCAACAGCATCATTAAGGGGTCAGCTATTTTCATAATAACGTAATAACCCTGGGGTTTTGCATATGAGGAAACAGGTAAAATTAAGACTGGAATACCTTGGCCAAATCCCACCATCAGCAATAAAAGACTTTGATTCAGTTCTGGGTCTTCCTGACACTAGGTCGGTGTATGGTTTTGAGAATTATAACTCATTCATTAACAGTTTAGTCCAACTTGTGTTTCAGCCAATCATGAACATAAAGAAGGCACCGACCCAGGCCACAGGAAGGGAGCAAGGCAAGAGTGTGGGCCACTGACAGAAACCAGAAGTGGGAAGGAGATGCCCCACCCCCACCATGTAGGCTGAGTCTAGAGCCCCTTCTAGAACCCTGCCAGGTGCTACCTTGACACATGTCATGACCAGTCAAGGTGAATCCTAAACCCAGGGACCAAGCTCATAGGCTTTTCTGCTTTTCACAGCAATAACGCATTCCCAGCTCCCACAATGAAGCCCATGTAAGATGGAGGCTTGGGGGCCGCTCAGAGTTGAGTGTGCAGGGCAGAAAACAGAAGAGAGAGCTTTTTCAACACATTTTACTTATGGGGAGAGACATCCAGTTACCTCTCTCGAAGGAATTTTTGATATCGTTCACTTCCACCTGCGAACCAGACACTCTGAAAATCCCCTGATGCTGAAGACCTACAGGGTGACAGAAGGGACAATGTGAGAAACCCTGCTGAAGACTTCAGGGCAATAGAAGGGAGAGCGAGAGAAACTCTCTCCTGCCCTACAACCCCACCCCCACCCTACTGCCGCTGTAAGAATAAAATTCCAGCAACAAACATGCTTACGGAAACAAACCCACTACTTGCTTTAAAATGAGGATTCCACGGTGAAGACTGCTTACCATAAAGATTAATGAACCGAATGCAGCTTTCCACGATAAGAGGGATAACCTGGCCTGAGTCCTGGGGAGAGAGAAGGAAACTGGGAAATGTCAGAGAGGGGCAAGTCACAAGGAGAAATAAGCCTCAGAGTTTAGTCATTAGAGTCAGGTGATCTCTTCCAAATACCCCCAACCCCAAATCCTCCTGAAAGAATGAAGAACAGAAAGAGTGACAAAAATGGATGTGTAGACAAAGGTGCATTTCGGTTCTGAAGCAAGCTAAATTAAATACATTTAACATACGCTCTCCTAGAATAGCTAAGAAGCTAACTCACCGTTTGGAGTGGTGGTTGTGATCTCCCAGCTGGGAGGCTGAGTTGGAGGTGAGAGTGGATAATACAAGAGCAACGAGTCCCAAACCTAACTTAGGTGTCTAAGCCGAAATGAGTAGCTCCTTTTGAGAGGTTATTACTCAAAGTGATCAGTGTGGAGCATGTCAGAAGAATGTGGTAGGGCTCAACTGCAGTACCTCTGTCTGACTGGCTGGTTCAGGATTCTTAGGACCCTCCCCACCATCGCTAAGCCCGCAGCACCACGGGGTGGTGGCAGTCTCTAAAGCCTGCTGTATTTAATTAGTCTGCATCAGAACTTACTGAGCCTTATAAACTTAGCCCGTCTTAAGGATGAAGACAAGGAAGACTGCTTTGCCTTCTTGGTCCAACACCTTGTAAAATGGTCACCATCCTCTACTAAGAAAATGCCGGAAATGATTTAAAAGCCACATGTATAGGATGTCAAATGAGCTTAGGGGCCACAGAAGCCGGGTAAACATGTTCTGATGGCATGCACTCTGGGAGTTACAAAGAATGACTAGGGATGGTGTGGCTTCACATGTCCTTTTAAGACCCATCTTTTAGGAATTAGCTCTCTCCAGGAAACTCGGGACTTGAAAGGGATCAGCTGACGTTGGGCACCCACTCCTGAGGAGTTTTATTCCGAAACGTTAAGAACTTGGTCTTAACATACTAGGACAATTCGGACCGTTAACTTTCCCAGTCCAGCTGGGAAGGAGAGACTGGGAATGATGCCTCTTGGCGGCCCAAACTCTTCTCCCTGTCTTCGTTGTCTCCAGAGTGGGCAACATGCTTCTTAAGACACAGTTTTATTGTCAAGCTTTAAGGCAATCAGTGGATAAGCCACTTAATGTTTCAATTACTTCTGGAGACTGTATTAGGTTTCTCTAATGAGTTCATTTGTTTTAGGAGCATACGTTTTTATGAATTCCTTAAAGAAGAGCCTTAAAAAGGAAAACACATTTTAGTGAAGGGCTAGTTGGCGCATGAACAGTGATGTGATCACATCAAAATCTACCGAGTACGCGAAGGGATCTTTCTCTGTAAGACGCAAGCATGGCTTCATGGAAGCAACATTTTACAAACAACTCATGTCACACTACAATTTAAAAGAGCGACAAATAGTTTTTACATGTGAGTGATGAAAAAGAAGGTTAGTTTACATCTCTGCTGAACTTAGCATGAAGACAGAGAATAAAAGTTTAAAAGAAAACTGTTTGCACTCAGCGAGTTTGCATCTTCATGGCATTGTATGAACCATTCTCGTCCTCACAGTCCCTTAAATGATGGCTGATTTCTTCCCAAAGATCAGTATCTCATTTAGATAGAGTGCACTTTGTAGTCAAAATATAATGAGCATTTTAATCTCATAGATGCCAGCTGTTTGGGTTGAAAATATTTAACAAGGAGTGAAATTATGGGCTACTTTCTAGCTACTACCATTCAACCATCTCTCTGTGTCTCAGTTCCCCTGTGGGAAGACGGTTTTGCTCTTGTTGTTCCTTGGTGCAATTTGGGAGAGCTCAGATACACTTTCTAGAAGTAGAGAGAGAGAGACCTCAGTACCTCTCGGTTGCCCGGGTGTCAGAGACTCTTGAGTGTTCCATCTGCAGAGCGCACACAATGGATTTTTCATGACAACGCCCTTAGACTTTCTCTAGTCCCTCAGTTTGCTTGCCTTTAGCTGACAGTTTTTAGTGGAGAATTATCAAAATCCCTACTGTGTGCAACATCTTAAGCAGCTGTTCCTGCACCCCACCACAGCAGCCAAGGGAGCAGAATGGTTCCTTTGCCTCGCTGACTTTTCTGCCTTCTCCCTGTGCCAGGCCATCAAGGGCATAGCTCACTGTCTTCCTTTGATTACTTCCCTCTTTCTGTTTAACCAGCTTCTGTCTATAAGCTATGGGGTGGGAAACTAGATAACAAGTGAAATTTGACAATAATTTATATTAAATTAGAGTCAATAGGAGCTTAAGGCTCAAGGCAACGGCTTTGTGATTGCAATTTAGGTTGTTCGGTGGCCTTTCACTTAATCCCAGGGTTAGGGTTCACTTTCAAGGTTTCCAGAGGTTTCTAATTTCTCTCTCTGTATGCACACAAGTATGGATGTATTTAAGTGCCATGTATGCAGCACACACATGCATTAATGCAATCTTTTAAATTGTTAGTGCACAGATTTAATAAATAGATCTATCTTTAAGGAAGTTAAGATGTCTATAACATAGAAATTATGGACTGTATCATACATTTAAAATGTCATTTTTCTATTATAGTTAGTTTTCAAAAATACTGTTGCCTATTTCACGAAATGTTATCTCTAACGGAAAAGTCTCTTTTTCATTCAATTTACATAAGACTCCACAATTAAACATTAAATATGTATTTGATATTTAACACTGGCTTTTCCTAGCACAAACTGCATGCATTTGCTGAAGGCATCAGGTAAAAACTGGTTCATGCACTCTTATTGGTGAGGCTTATTCCTCTTCAATTAGTATCTACTTCCCACAGGTTTTTCTAAGTAAAGCCTATTTATAAACTGTCTAATTTCCAACTGCAAACATTTTTCTTTTAAAGACCATAAAAAACTCCAGTTAAAGCCAAGCATGGGTAGGACTTGTGAATGATGCCAGCGCATAGAGACCCCTGCTTCCCTCCGGCACAATACCTGATGTCTCGCGTGAGAATTCCTTCGTCCCCGGCTAGAAGCATTATCAGAAATACAGGATGAGAAAGAAGGCAGAGAGTAAACACAGCAGAGGTACAAGATACAGACTTCAGGGCTGTACAAAATTTATCCAATATAATGAATTCCTTAAGTCATGAGAAAGCCAGACTTGTGCCTTGCTTCAGAGAGAGGCTAACACGGATTTAAAAAAAAAAAAACATATACAGTGGGCCGTCTCATTTGCACAAGTAAAGAGAAAATATTTAATCAAGTTTGTCTTTTCCTTTTTCTTGCAAATTTTGGCTTGGAAAAAGGAAAAAAAACAGGGCTTTTTCTTTGATATGATATGATATCACCATATGATAACACCCACATTTATTTCTTTCTTCAGAAGATTCTCAATCCAAATATTCTCTCTTCTCTGACTTCAGGAAATATTATATTGATTTTATGGGCGAAGCAAAGAGCCCCAGGACAGACTCGGACATAATGACCTGCCTCATTCACGGGAGGCTGAGACCATTATAGTGAGAAGCAGGGAGGTCAGCCACTGGTGACTGATGCAGTACCTTGACGAATGTCTCCAAATCCCCATTAAACAACTTAGCATTATACTGGGAGCGGGGCCTGGACTTCCTGTGTTTCTGGGGCTTAGGGGGGACGTTTGGAGGCCTAAGGGAAGGGAATATAATTACTGAGCATGGCAGAAATCAGACAATAAATGAAATACCTTAGGTCACATCAAAATAACAAAGCCAGGGGATCCTGGGTTCCTTCCCCACCCCAGCCCAGGAGAAAACACTCCCATCCTTTCCCTTCCACTTGATTTGATGTACGTATTAGATTACAGTGTTCCTATGTGCTGGAACTGGCCATTTTGTTTTGTGTTCCCATACTGAAAAATGGCAGGTATTCTAAATTGCTATTGCGAGCTATCTAGTCAAATGTTGTAAGGCCAGGTTTTTGTTTGGTTTATGGAATTACACACCAGAACATAATTGTAATCGGGTTTTGAGAGGTTTCCAAACGAGGATTTAAATGTTTTTAGTTAGTTCGTAATTCTCCAGTGCAGGTAACGTCGCAACTGCCCAGCATCCCTCATGCATTAACGGGGTTTGATTTTTATGTAAACATTTTCATGAACAGGTCAACGTGGTTTTGGAGTGTGAGGTCCGGACTTACATGAGGTACAAATTCGGTAGAAAGCAGGATGCCCTGGCCCACATATCCCTGGGGCAGTAGATCGCACCTGTCTATGTTGCTCTGGACTCTCCTGCCTGTTGGCTTTGGTGAATAAGCTTTCAGACCTGCACACACGCTCTTGCAGGCTTACACACATCCTGGGTGCCAAATCCTGCATCGATTGCCTTGCACTACTTCAGAATGAGGAAGCTAAGGCCCCAAATGATCAGACTCAATTTCCACATCTGTGCTGGTCAGCCTCTGCAAGGCGGGCAGGAGAAGGCCCGCCATGCCTACAGACTGTGTTTGCTCTTTGTGAAGCTGTCCTTTGGACTAATGTCCTGTTAAGTTCATTTGGCTTCAGTTCGGAAAGCCCAGGTTAGAAAGAAAGTCCCAGGAATTTCTGTGAGACCCTGCAGAGCTTCATTAGCTATTACCGCAGCAATCAACACGTGCAAGAGAGACCTGCTGGTACAGCCTTTCACGGTTAAACCCTTAGGCTCCCAGCAGGAGGGCCTTGACTAATGGAGCCTACAGCCAGCAGCATCTGAAGTCCTGCTGAGCTCTGGAGCTTAAAAGGAGCCTTTGCTAAAACACAGAAGTGTGTGGAGCCCTCTCTGAGACAGCACACCTTGTCCTTCCACAGCTAACATTTCTGGGATATTTTTATACACTAAATTCCAAGCTGCGCATGAAGGAAGGGCTGTGGTAGCTGTGAGGAAGTCCAACAACGGGCTGCCAAATGTTTCATCAGTGCTACCTGATGATGTCACCCTTCATTATCCTATGCGTGATTTCTAATACTGATTTTTATGTTATCAAGAGATGACTGCCCATGAAGAGACAGGGCTACGTTACAGCACTCAGAGGCACAGGGGTGTCCTGGAACTCTACCATGGAGGGTCCAGGCAGGTGGGCCTGTCACCTCGTGTAAAAGAACCAATTAAGATAGACTCTGGATTGGCTAACCTGCATAGGAGAGTTAACGTTTGGGAGGTGGTTCTGACCATCCCTGAGAATCTGCAAACTGGCCATTGATGGTCCCTGGTGTTAACAAAACCCTAGGGCACCAAAGCATCAGATATAGAAGCTAGAAGATCTGTTAGAGACCTTCCCATGCCTCCTGTCTCGTCCAGAACTCAGCCTCAAACATGTGAAGTCTTGCTACGTCAACTCCTGTGATGTCTGTCTGTCTGCTGTACAAAAGGCACCATTCAGAAACAAATGTTGCCACGAACATTCCCCAACTCAGACCAGAATCTGCTTCCAAATGTTCTGGCAAGAAGCTTTATCGTCCTACATGGATGGGTGAAGGGGCGGAGGGAGGAAGGATGTCTAAAAGGTGCTATGTGTTAGAATTCACATTTTATATCAGATTCAAAAGTAGATAGAGATCTAAAATTCTAAAAAAATTTCAATCTATCTTTACTTTTTAGACAGCATCAAGTAGGAACTGGAGAGGTAGGCGATTCCATTTACTGATACAGTCGCTCCACACCCCCTGTTACCCGTCAACTAAATTATCATCAAAGTGTCAACAGTCTATCCAAAAAGCTCATGTGTTTGGGATGAGATAAATGAAGCCCACCTAACTCTGGTGCAACTGCCTACTAAGGAGCTTTGTGATTCCGCCAAAGACAATCTTAGTACATGTCACCTGGCGAGAACCCAAGCACCTCAAAGTGCTGGCTTCGTCATGCCCCATGCCCGGATGATCTTCTGGAGTTATCAATCGCTCTTGCTAAAGAGAAAAGAAAGTGAGACAGACCACAGATTATGATCAAGTATCTTCATACCTTGTAGTCATATATTCAGCTCTATGACCTGTCAAAAAATAAAATAAAATACAATAAGTAACCTGAGTGGAATCAGTGGGTTCGATTTGTTAATCTTGTGTAGCATCAGTCCCTTATCTCTGGATACTGAGTTAATACCGAGTTACAGATCTCTTGGTAGAAAAGATGTAACTAGCATATGATCACAAATAATCCAAGGTCATTATTTTCATAAAATCTCAATCCAAAATTTGACAAATTCTATGGGCTAGAGAAACAGGTTTCATTTGGCAATTTGAGGCAGTTTCTTTTTTTTTTTTTTTTTTAAAAAAAGAAGAGAGATCTGTTTGACTAAGTTCAAACGAAAACACACCATGCATATCTAAAAGTTCCATGCTAGTGATAGTTATTTGCTCTCTTTTGATTGACAGACGAGCAAATAGGGTTGGGCGAACACAGTTTCCCATAGACTAAGTTGGTCTTCTCTCTGTGGTATGAAATCAGGGCACCGGGAGGGTACTTGTGTTCCCTGTTCTGAAAGGACACAGACAACATACAAGGGCATTAAATTATTCTACAGTCTATCACCTTGTAAGTGAAAAGTCTTTCATAGAGTTCTGTATCTAAACCGCCAGCTGCTTCTCATACATTACATATGACCTTCTTGTTGTAAATAATAGGACTGAATCATTCTAGCACGCTCACGGCCTGTACGCATTTCAAGTGTGCAAGCATCTACAACTGCTGTTACTCATCCTGCATTCAGGGTGGGACTGTGGCAAGGTGTGGGAGAGTGGAACCATTCAGCTGGTTTGTTTGCAGCATGATGAGATGGTTCTGAAGGAGTCTGAAACTACGGCTGGAGAAAGGCCACAATGGAGCACAGGCAGGTGAGCCCAGCCACAAGACAAAACCAACCGGACAACAGGCTGGTGCGAGTGGTCAGCAAACACTCCCCGGCCACAGCTGAGCCCCTCTCTCTACTTTCCTTTCTTGATAACTAGTAACGCGAGAGACTTGATGTGTGTTGATTAAATAGGGGCCAAGAGATATTCTCAGGGGACCCCTTTCTCCAGTTAGATCTGAGCCAATACAAGTTGTGGCAAGATCAGATTCTAGCCAGAGTTGCAGTGAGCAGAGTGTGGTAGATGGCACCTGATGGCCATCCGAATGGAAATGCCATGGGAAACTGGGCTAGACTGGATTTGAGCAGATGACAGACAAGCCTGAGAGTACCTGTCATTTTGTTTGGGCTGAGGCCATAGGAGCTGGCTGAGATCACCTAGGGTGAATCAGTGGGATGAGCCCAGGATTGAGGGGACAGACACTATCTGGCTTGTCTGTATTGTATTGCTAGGTTCAAAGCTTTATCATGACATTGGTGTGCTATAGTAGTAAAAACAGACCAGAAACTATCTGAATAAATGTCCTAAGCAGAAGATAAGCAACAGGTTCTCTCCAGTGTTTGAAGCACTATATATTTCCTTACTAATTTTGAGACAGTGACACTAGGCAACTTTGGTATGCTGTAGCCTAGCACTCCTGAATGTTCTGCTTTAGCCCCTGGGGACTGGCAGTATTTGTGTTTCCATACCTGGCCTGAGCACTTTATATTAAATATGCTAACTCATAGTTTTCATAACTTTTATGAAGTAGCTTCTATTATTTTTCTTACTTTACGGAAGAGATGGAGCACACAAAAACATGACCTGACCCAGGCTGTGTTAGTGTGGCATGGGCCTGGCCTAAGGTTGAGGTTTATTTTAATTACAGATCTGAAATCCCGATCAGTGTACTACATACAGTACCTTAAAAAATGTAGCAGTTGGGGTGGGGATGGAGCTCAGTGGTAGAGAACTTGCTGAACATTCGGGAGGCTGTGAGTTCAATGCTCATCCCTAACACACACACACACGCACGCACACATACACATACACACACGCACACACACATACACACATGCCACATGTGAGCAGACACACACACACGCACAGCACACATGCACACATGTGCGCACGCACACACATGCACAAACACACACACATCACATACGTTTTGGCACTGGGAAGATGGCTCAGTAGGTGATGTGCCTGCCATGTAAGCATGAGAACCTGAGTTCAGATCCCAATAACTATGTAAAAACTAAATGTGCTGGTACATGACTCTAACCCAGTGCTCGGTAGGGCAGAGACAGGAGGATCTCTGGAGCTCATTGGCCAGCTAACCTAGCCCATTGGTAAGTGCCTGCTTCAGTGAGAGATCCTGTTTGAAAAACATAAGGTGTAGAGTGACCCAGAAAGATATTTTGAGCTGGGCAGTGGTGGCGCACGCCTTTAATCCCAGCACTTGGGAGGCAGAGGCAGGTGGATCTCTGTGAGTTCAAGGCCAGCCTGGTCTACAAGAGCTAGTTCCAAGACAGGCTCTAAAGCTACAACGAAACCCTGTCTCAAAGAACCAAAAAGATATTGTTGACCTCTGAGGCCTCCACATACATGCATATGCACACGTGCACATATCCACATGAACAAGAACATATACATGCACATCTGCACTTAAACCTGGACAACACTTTGTGAGCAATCCTAGAAGGAAGGAATGGACCCCAGCTTATACTTTGACCTGCCTGGTATGGTTAAAATAAAATACAAAATAATGAATTAAATTAAAAACGACACAGACATGTGACCGTGCAAATTACTAAATACCTTCACATTTAAGTTGAGGAGCACAGCCCAATCACCTTCATGTGGTCCAATATTAGAGACACTGATGATTAGGAGAAGTGAAATATTTTCTAACCTGGAAACTTTGATATTTTTGCTCAACTATCCCAATCAATTATTTCCTCGACTGAGAAAAAGATAAATGATAAGACAACTTGTATTATTTTGCTCCTCCCACCTATGGCTGACAAAATGTACACAGAATCCATTTGGAATAACGAACTGAGAGCAGCGCCGTGGAGTCACGGCGTAACTGCACGGCCACATCGACGGCTTTTCTGGGGATCAGTCCCGTGTGCATCTCCACGGAGAAAGGGGCTTTAGTTTTTAATCTGTGTCATCATTACAGATCAATAACACATAAGCAAGGACGACTCGCCTTCCTAAAGAAATGCCAAAGCTTCCAGTGCTCACCTTGAACATTCCATCCTCCTGCCTCTGCCTTCAAGTGCTGGGACTGCAATCTTGGATAACGGGCTTCTTTTAATCCTCTTATATTTTATTTCACAATTCTGAAGAAAATTATCTTTCACACTTAAATGTTTTTTATTCAAAATGAAGGTTGGGGGCAACTTGAGGTCTAAGAGAAAAAAGACCTAAAAAATCCTATTTACAACATGCCTAGCTGGAACTGGACCTTTGGTTTGCTTCCCCAAGGAGAGGCTGGTGAGCCAACTTTCCAGCCGCTTTCCTTCCTAACTCCAACTATTGGGTGCTTCTGTAAGGAGACATTATTATTCACAATCCGATCCTCTTTTGAAAGAATATTTGTGCTCCTACTCAAAGGCAGACAATGGATTATTCCAAGATAACCTATTTAATTCCTTTGTCAAAAGCGGCATGTCTAGGAGAAGAAACAATGTAATGCAGAGATGGGCTCGCACCGGCACATTTTTCTGTTTAGCTGTACAGATATTTCTACCCCTCTTACCTCCGAACACCTCACACAAAGAAAGAACCTGATGTGAACATGAAAGCTCATTATTAGACGAAAAAAAATTTCTATGTCCCAGTTTTATAGATAGAGATCTCATTTACCGTGGCCGACTCAACTTCCATTCAAAAAAGAAACTATCTCCCTAAAAGATCTAGCAGCCTTGTTGGGCTGGGGGGGAGATGAGCGTGGCTTCCATACCCACGTGTTTCTTCTTTCTATTCTGGTGGTTTTTAAAGTCCTGGAAGTCTGAGTCTGGAGAATGGTGCCTTAGGAGCCTGATTCAGTTGCTTTGCTGGGTTGTAAATCAAAGAACTGACTGGGCCACTGGTAGCCTGCCAAGAGCCGGCAGCAAGACAGGCCAAACACATGTCTGTAGCTAGAGTTTCGTCTGTGGACGATCAGCTGCTAAATCCCAGGGCCGGGCTATTTGGTTTTACTAGGAAGGCCGTTTTCGCAGCAGCAAGTCTAGGAGAATTCAGAGGTATTCCTATCTGAAGTGTCAAGCCAGTCCCCAAACACGCCACTTAATCCTGGACTACTAACCTTATTTAACCAGATGGGACTTGGATTCCTTCCTAAGGGCTCCCTGTTAGACTGTTTTCCACGGGACAGGCGCCCTTAACCCTCCTAGTCTCCCTTGTTGTAAGCCTATTAACAGGAACAGGGCTTTCATGGAAAGTCAGCAGGCTTACACGGGCTGAACCCTTTTAAAGGGTGTGTGTGTGTGTGTCTTCTGCTCAGCTTCTCTTGGAGGTTCAAACTACGCATCCATGAGTGACCAGCAGCTGATGTCAAGCTGGCACAAATTATTGGACCAAGAGCAGCAGAGGTCTGTACCGAGTTAGTGCATAGCACCCTGATGAAAACCGTCCAGGTCCCTTTCACAGAGTTAACTGAGTGTCACACCAGGGATACTGGAGCCCACTGAAAGAAATTCCCAGACAAAGGAACCCTGTCTTAGCGTTCACAAGGTATGACAGCTTTACGGAGTGTGGCTAAGGACAGCCTTTGGCAAACGGTCTCAGCCTACAAAGCCAAAATGTAGCCCGATCCAAGAATGACATGGAGATTAACATTAACCAGTGGGGCTTTTCTCTCTGGGAGACAGACAAGAATTCATGCTGAATGACTAACATAAAAACTGCAGAATGTTGCTCCAAGCCACAGTAACCCTTGACTGTGCACGGTGCCAAGGACGAGCAGGCGCACAGCTCGGGTCCCTCGATCTCGCCGTGTCCACGGGGGCTCTCAGTCCTGGCTAACAGCCTTTCCCTGCCCTGAGGAGAATGCTATTCTCTGGGGGCAGCAAAGGACCTCGAGGGCATTGTGTGAAATACTGGGCACTTGTGAAAAAATGAGAGAAAAAAGGGAATTCATTATGAGAGAAAAGGAAAAAAAAACCCACAAAACTAAGACATGATTATACAAGAAAACTATTCAGAGATAAAAAGGTTTACAAAAAAGTTTAAACCTACAGAGGAGATCAAAGAACAGTACAAGGAATACACCGATCATCTGCACTTAGATTTCATAATTGTATATATGTTTGTATGTATGATATATGTATGTATGTATGTATGTATGTCTGTCTCCTTTTAAAAGTCCTGAACCATGCCATGGGGAAGTAAGTTCTGGACAATGTTTTTTGTTTCTTGTTTTTTTTTTTTTCCTCTCAAGAATAAGAACATTCTCTTTATGACCACAGTATCATTATAATACATAGGAAAATTAAGTCAGTAATACTTAACATATAGATTATATTCATTTTCCGTTACGCTTAAAATGACCTTCATAAGTTTTAAGTTTTGCCTTTTGGTTCAGATTTTAATCAAAGTTGACACATTTAGTTATTTTATTTTTCTTGGATGCTTTTTAATAGCTAAAACAAAACTTTTTTCTTAGGTATGACTGCCTTTCAACCCAGACCCTGGGAGCGGAGATTATGCATGGTAGCCTTTGCCTGTGGCCATTCCCTGAGGAGGATAACTCCTTTGAAGCAAACCATAAGGCAAAATGGTAGCTACACTGCCTTGTGGGCAAGGAAGGTTCCAGAATGCAGGAGGCAGAACTCAGGTATAAGACAGAAAACTCTTTTTTAAAGATTTATTGATTTTTATGTCTAAGACTGTATGTATGTGAATGCACTGTGCATGTGTGTGTGTGTGTGTGTGTATGTGTGTATATGTGTATGTGTGTGTTGCTTGAAGAGGCCAGAAGAGGGCACCAGATCCCCAGGAACTGGAGCAAGCCACCACGTGGGTGCTGGAAACCCACAACAGAGCCCAGCAAGTGCTCATAAAGGCTGACTGGCCTTTCTAGGCCTAGGAGTCTCTGTTGAATTCAGCCATTCCCACACCCCATCCTCTCACCCCACCCTGTAGTTTCTCTTGTCCTTTTCCCAATACCCACCAGGATCTAGTGTGAATAAAAAGAACTGAAGCTTTAGACCCCAGACACTTAACTAAGGTAGGGCTTTGCCTGAATAGGTTTGTTTTTCCTTTCTACATTTTATGAAGACAAAAAAGGGAAGCAATGGTGTTTATATAGTCCGCTTTGCTTGTAGTACACCCTACCCCAGTTTCCTCATTTGTAGAGATGAGGAAGCTCACAGTACCCAGTTAAGACTATAATTCAGAACAATGCCTAGTTCTGAGAATGCTTTGTTAGAACCAATGCTATTGTGTTGTGACCACACACAGGAATGTACATATACCATTAGATCATTTCTCAACTACCAACAATGCCTACGGGAAGAAAAAGAAAATCGCCCAGACTGGACAAACTGGTTTCTACAATCCCAAAAGGCAACAGATGGGGCAGTTATTAGCCCATGCAAATGGACAGGGGTGAGCCTGGAGGGCAGAGACCTCCCCACCCCAAGTAGAGCAAGCAGAGACTGGGGTCAGTGGGTGTGGGTCCCTCCCTAAAGGAACCTCCACACCAGAGATAGTCTTGCTTGGATTTACCTCTAAGCTTAAAATGGCTTCAGAGAAGAACACAATTCTCAGTGAGACAGGCCAACTGAATCTAAATGTACATAAGTTGAAGGCATGTGTGTGTGCGCACGCACACACGCACACATACACATACACTTCACACTCTTCAAGGAACACTCATCACACAACACACAGGCCAAATCATTTTCCCGTTTGCTCCCAGTGACCGACCTTCTCCAAGAGTCCTCTGCAGCAAGTCATGCTTAGCCTGAAGCTTTGTGATGAGATTACTGCCTTCCAAGAACTCTCGGAGTTTCTGCAAAAGGATAGGTAAGAACTTAAACCCATTCAGCGTCTAGGGCCTTCCAAGAGGGGTGCTAAAGTGTAGCTGCTTTGTGTCCTAGAGTTCTGCTACTCCCAGTGTGGTCTCTAGTCTAGCGGAGTCAGCCATCTCCTGGGAGCCAATGGGAGATACAAGCGCTGGGCTCTTCCTCCCCAGATCTGTTGAAATGGGCTATATTTTAGCAAACTCCCCAATGACCTGTACCCACATGAATGGGGGAGGGAGCCTGGACGGGGAAAAAGGGGCAGGAGGAGCTGAGTTCCGGTCTCCAGTACTGGGCACGTATCAGTAACCTTGGCACTAGGGTGAGGGGTGGAGACAGGAAGATCCCAGGGGCTTGATTGACCACATTGACTACTGGTTCAGAAAGAAACCTGTCTCAAAAAACCAAGATGGAGGAATAACTGAGTAAGACATCCTCACATCTGCTCAACACCCAACCTCCTTCCAGTCTGTTTCAAAGAAATCCCATCTCCTAATGCCCACCCGGACCGGCTCAGTCTGGAACTGTGAGGGTGTGCAGGTGAACATATTTTTAAATCAAGGCCTCCAGGAGACTGTGGCGTCATGGCAGAGGTGCCCAAGGCAAGCGAGGCCCTGGGCTCCGTCGGGAGAGGCTGGGGAGTGGGCGCACCATGAAGTAGAAATGCTCCGTTTCTTGCTGGTTAGCACGTCTCTTGGCGATGCTGGGTTTACTCAGGTAGGTTTCAGACACGGTGGACTTGACGGACTCTGTGGACCGGCTGTGCTGGAAGCACTCGGACACATCGTAGTCTTCGATAGTGACCATATCTTGGATAGTCTGGAGGGTGGCTTCGGTCGTTTTCTTGACCTGGGCACAGAAAAACATTTCTCTCATTAGCATATTGCTCTGGGAGCCTCAGGTTTCTCAGCCAAAGTCAGTCCCTGAGGAGAGATTACTTCAGAGTGGTGGGTGGAGGAAGAGAGGCAGGCCAGTTGGACCTCAGGCCACCAGTCTGTGCCCTTATAAATCTCACAGACTTCTGGAGACTCCCGATTTCATTTCTGTTTACTATTACCTTTTAATTAAAGTAAACCCGCAAACAGAAAGAATGCACAGACCATAAGTATACAGCCCGAGAAATAATCTCCAAGTGGACACACCTGTGCAAACACTGCTCAGACCCGAAGTGTACTTTATGGACGCCCTCACTGTCCTTCAAATAAAACCCTCACACCTTTCTTCCTCTCGATCTACTAACCTCCCTCCTGCCTTGATTCCTGTCTTTTTTTTTTTTTTTTTTTAAGTTTGGAACCAAAGCCAGAAGCTTATATGTGCTATGAGCAAACATCCTTCCTCAAAGCCACACACCAAACCCTCCCCTGAATTCTAATATTTTCGTGGTGTTTTATACAAACAGAACAGTACAGCTTATGTCTTTAAATCTGATTTCTTTCGCTCAGTGACAACAAGATTCATTTCTCATGACAAATTCTCAAGTATTTCACTACTTGACATTTATTGCCAGCCCCTGTGATTGATTGATGATTAACTTTTAGTTTGGGTCTTTTATGAATTAACTACAATTCATGAAAATAATTTTGATGGGATATGCATACATGGACAGAATTGCTGTATATGGAAAATGGCAGACTGTTCTCTAAAATAATGCCATGTATATTCCCACCAGCCTGGTGGACAATTCCCATCACTCCGCATCCTCGTCAACAGTTGGCACTGTCAGGCCTTTCATCTGGGGCACTGTGCTGGTGTGCAGTGGTCTTCGGCCGTACCCATAAGTATCTCCCTGTTGTATGAGCTTGAGCGTATTAGCCTATGTGACAGGTACCCGGAATCTCTCCTGTGAACACTTCGTTGAGACCTGTCAGTCAATACTCTACTGGGCTCTGAGTCTTGTTATTCATTCATGTTACTAATTATTTTCCCACTCTTGGCTTCAGCTCCATTACTGTCTACATGAATACAGCTTCTACTTTTATTTTTATAAATTTTTTAGTGAGTGTTTGTGTGTGTGTACGTGTGTGTACATGTGTGTGTGTACTGTGTGTGCGTGTGTGTACGTGCACATATCTGTGTACATTTGTGTGTACGTGTATGCGCGTGTGTTGGACATGTGTGTGCACATGCCGCGGCACTTGACTGGAGGTCAGAGGACAACTCTGTGGAGTCGTCACTTTTACAGGGTTCCCAGGCTTGAGCTCAGGTCCCCAGGCTTCTGTGGTACATGCCTTTAGCTGCTATGTCGTCCTCCTGACCCTGGATTCCACTTTTGATACAATTATTTTTTCAGTTCTTTCCTTTAGGACTAGAGCTTGCTGTGCCCTACTTATGAAACATTTCTTCATCCCACGGTCACAACGTTACTTAATCCTACTTCCTAGTGCTTTGAAATTTATCTCCTAGCCTCACCTTAATATTTGCTTAATCCTACTTCCTAGTGCTTTGAAATTTATCTCCTAGCCTCACCTTAATATTTGCTTTTTATTTATCAAAGATGGCTTCATCTGTGCTCATAAAATCTATCGTGAATTAACAGGTTTTCTTTTTGTCATCTAATATAGAGTCTAGAGTTTAGCTCTATTGGCCTTTTCTAATTCAGATACTATTTTATAATACATTGTCATAGGAAATTAGATATATAGTTCTACACACTTAACTGAGACATTATTACTTTTATTTATCCAATATTAATCTTGATTTATCCATTTATTTAATAGGTTCTTTGATCTCCATTGCTTATATTTTAAAAGTAACCACTGGGAATTCTTTTTAGTTAAGTCTGTTTTATCTACTTGAAATTGAAAGTCTTTTATCTCTCTTCAAGTATGAAGAACTGTTAGACAGTTATTCTTCAGTATGAAACGTGCCATTGTACTTTTTGTGGCTTCCATGTTCTTGCTGAGTAAAACTTTTACCTTTAGCCTGTCATTGCTTTGAATGAAATCTTTCTCCCCTCCATCTTCCTTTAAAGCCTCCTATCTATCTTTGGCTTCTATACTTTCACCATGTCTAGGTACTCATACATACATTTCTATCTCTTTCATTTGTGTGTGTGTGTGTGTGAATGCACATGTTTTACAGTGGGATTGTGAGGACAGCTGACAACTTGAGACTTTGTCCTCTCCTTCCATGTTTGTCCCAGGGAGGAGCTCAGGTTGTCAGACTTAGTCCCACATACACACAGATTTTAAAGACAGATCCTAACTGAGTGATCTGTTTAACTTCTGGCTTTTCTCCTTGTCTTTTAAGCTACTCCCTCTGTTTCTAAGAGGCCAGTTACAACAGCATACTGTGTTCTCTTTGCCTCGTAATCCTTTTCTTTTCTTCTGTATTTTCTATTCTTTTGATTTTACTGGTAGGATGATGATTTCCCCTCTGAGATGTCCTTTTTGGCAATTCACTCTTCGGCTGTGTCTAATCTACTAACAACCCACCACTTTGAAGTGGCTTGCCTGTCATTCTTAGCTCTTCAATGGCTACAAGGTTATTTCCCGATCTCTTATCTCGCTGCTTGTTTTCTCTGCTGAAATCTAAGCTGGTTTTCATCTCCTTGAGTCCAGGAAGAAGTTCTTCTGTAGCATGTTTCTGATAATTTCACTGCTGGTAGCTTCTGTGGTCTGTCTTTGGGATTTACAATTTCTTCTGGCTATCACCAGTGGCTTTTCCAAATTAGGTACACTTCTTGTACTTAATTATCTTTCTTACACATGTAAAAAATTTTAATGTCCCTTACATTTATTTTATTTATTGTGTGTAAATGTATGGGAACACCCATGCCATAGGGTGCATATGAATGTCAGGGGAAAACCTTTGGTAGTCAGATCTTTTTTTCCACTGTGTAGGTTCCAAAGATCAAACCTAGGTCTTTAGGCTTGGTGGCAAGTGCCCCTACTGACTGAGTCACCTTGTTGGCCCTTGCTAGACATCTCTACACAGATATCTAGAATTGAGGTCTAAACTAATCTCATCAGCCTCCAAAAACAAAGTTTGTTTTTCCAAGCTTACAGGACATCTGTAGCTTAGAATTTGTAGATTTTATTACAGCTCAAAATATTGGACACACTTCCTTTTGGGAGGCTCTGGTTCTTGTGTCATGGGCTTCATGCTTTGGCATGTACTTTGTCCTGGACAATAAAACATGAATGCAAGAATTGGCTGAGTGATCCACACCATCATTCTAAGAAGTGGAAATCTTTTTAATTACATAAAACAACAATAAAACCCAAGGCCGTTGAGACTCAGTGGGTCAAGGTGCTTGCTGTCATGCCTAATGGCATGAATTGGATCCTCGGAACCTACCTGGCTGGAGGAGACAATTGACTATTGTTAGCTATCCTCTGACCTCCACAAGTGTGCCATGACACGCGCACGCACGCGCACGCACACACACACACACAGAGAGAGAGAGAGAGAGAGAGAGAGAGAGAGAGAGAGCAGGAAGAAACATATTGCGTGGCTAGAAAATCAGAGCAATCCATCAGTACTAGTCTGGATACTGAAAAATGATCATGCTATGGAACTTCTTAAAAAGATGCAGAGAATGCCTGGTGGCTCACAACTTTCATCCCAGCACTCAGTAGGCAGAGGCAGGGGGATCTCCATGAGTTCGAGGCCAGCCTGGTCTACCGAGCGAGTTCTAGGACAGAACTTGTCTCAAAATAAAAATAAAAATTTGCAGAGAATGTAATAGATTTTGTTTTTAGATTTCCTGGAGTACGCATTATGTGGAGAGCAGCTTTCTCTGTGAAAAAGCACATTTGGACATTGCTGTAAGTGCCCATTACTATGGGCAGCAGCTTCACAGGCCAGGACTGTCCGCCTCTGCCCATGAAGGTTAGGAGACTCACTGCCTTAGGTCAGGCCAATGTGTTCCTGTTACCTGTGGAGACATTTCTGAAATGGGCACGAGGCGCATACACCATATTTCTAAATTAAAGCATACTTTTAAATATGATTTCATGTATCTATGCATAAGTAAAGTGATGGTTACTGAAGGCAGATATATTTTGATAGCTCCCCGAGTTTATATTCACATTAGGAAATGGAAAGTCTGTTAGTTGACTGAAACACTATTAGATAAGTGGTACCCCTCTTTACTCATGGAAACTCCTGCTATTTTACCAAGATATGTGAAACTCTGCGCTGTTCTCTCAGGCAAGGCACTGTGGGAGTCGTGTGGGGGTCAAGAAGTAGGCACCAGTCAAAAAGGACTCAAGATAGAAGATGGAAGGGAGCAAGCTTGGTCTCTCGGAGCCACAGCAAGCAGCTTCATGAGTGGGAGAAAATATAGCTTTCAGAGCAACATGCTAATCAAGTCCCTGGCACAGCGCAGCCAAGGGATGGGCAAGGGGGGGGGGCACCGCAACTGCGGTCACCGCAACCGCAACCGGGAGGAGCTGGAAGAACTGGTGTGTCGGCTCAGTTTCCTGCTTTTAAAATATACTGGGGCCAATGAGCAATAAAAGGGAAAGACAGAAAGGAAGAAATAAGCCAGGAGATTTAACTTGGGGCAGAGGTCATGATCGCAGAGCTGGGGAGAAACACCTGAAGTGAAACCTCTAGGCACATTTGAGGGACATTCAAGTGATAGAAGTGGAGGGTTTATTTTTTTTAAAGGAAATTTCTTAAGTGTAAAATAAAAATGACCAGAAATAGCAGTGTAAGGTGAAGCACAACTTCCAAAGTTACAGAAAAATGCTAAGACCTGAAAGGAGAAAGTGAGTTAGATTGGGAGTGTTGATAGTTTCTACTTAAATCGCAAGTTCCCAGTGCCGACTGCCGAAAACAAGAAGACAGGAAACTCCCCCAAACTCCCAAGAAGGCCTGACCCCAAACTAAACAAACAAAAATCACCACGAGTGAAAATTAAAATCCATGCCTGTAGTTTGCCCTAGATGACCTGTCAGTGGGTTGGAATTTTGTTAATTAAAGTACGCTCACTGAGACAGTAAAGATAGCCAGCTATAAAACAACATCTCACTAGAAGCATGTTCCGGTGGTTAAGATACCCAGGGGTAGCAGTGTTTAGCAAATGCACCCACACGGATCGTACGCACCAAGAACCAAATCAACTGTTGTTTTCCTCTGAGTGAGAACCTTCCTCCTCAGAAACGGCGCGTCACAGTTCAATCTGGAGTTGCCGGGAGAAATAAGACTGGGACCTGTGTCTCATCCCGTGGGGTGCTCCAAATGACCGCAACTCTGACATACACGCATGATAATGGGTGGCAGAGGGGATTCACCAAAAAGAAGACACCACGGCTAACGGTGCTCACACCGACTCCCCACTGGCTGCAGGGAAACACGGGTGCGTTCGGTAGAAGCGAATGCCAAATAATTGAAGAAGGACACATGAAAAAACACATTTTTGCCGTCAAGGCTGTGGATAAAAATGGGTGATGGGGGAGAGGTAACTCCTGCGGGATTAGAAATATGATCATCATCATCACTATTAGTGTGTTTGTATGTGTGCATGTGTATGCATGTGTGCATTGCACGCTTAGGGTGTTTATGTCATGTCCATAAGTCAATGTATGGGAGGCCAGAAGAGGATGCTGGCTGTCCTTCTGTATTGCTGCTGTCTTCCTTTCTGCCTTGAGATGGGGTCCTTGCTGAACCGGAAGCTCACTCTGTTGGCGAGGCTGGCCAGACGGTTGTCTCCACCCGCCTGTGCTGGAGTTACACACCTGTGTTACCATGCTCTGATTTCACGATGTGGGCGCTGGGGATTTGGACTCAGGTCTGCATCCCCGCACAGGGGCACTGTTACTCTGAGCCATCAAAAGTCCTTCCTGTGAGATTTACACATATTGGCTCTTGGTTGTTCAGTCCTTAGGACAGTCTTTGGAGAGAACCTGGAAGGCCCTTTGCTAGTCTCCAGCTCCTGCCCTGGCCTCCCCTCTCTCCTCCTCTCTTAACAGTGGAACCGATCCCCGTGACTGTCTGAGCTGGATAAGGTATTACAGAGCCGAAAAGCATCTTGCCTTTGTTGCTCTACCTGGTCTTAGTTGAGGGGTGGTGGTTGCTCCAGAACCACCAGACAAGGCCCCATTGATCCTCTATTGGCCAGCATCTGAGGTTGTATTTATAAACACTGGGGTCACTTGATATTTTTTTTTTATTTATTCTTGGGGCTGCAGAGATGGCTCAGGGGTCAAGAGTGCTGCTTGTTCTTTCAGAGATCCTGAGTTCAATTCCCAGCACCTACATGGTGGCTCACAACCACGTCTAGTGGTGCCCTCTTCTGGCATGCAGGCATAATACTGTGTATGTGATAAACAAATCTTTAAAGAACATAAAAATTCAGTCTCAGCAGTGACAGAGCTTAGCCCAAGGATGGCAACAGCATTGTTGCCCAGGGGCTCTCAGAACACAGTTCCTGCCTCCAACTGTCTCGGGAAACCTGTGTTCCTGATTCTGATTCAATCGTCCTGATGGACAGAACTGACTCTCACTGTGGCTGAGAGGATGACTTCAAGTCCCTTGCTCATAAGCATCTGGGACAGCATTTAGAGGTCTATGTCTCTGCCTATTTGGGGCAACATGAAGGCAGGAATGATTTATTCCTCTTAATGTCACTCATGATTTGTGCAGTGGACCTCAGAAGACTCAGAGAAAGTCTGTTGGTGGAGGTGAGGTTGAAGCCACTTCCCTCCTCAGGGATGCTGAAGTGCTCTCTGCACAGAGCAGCAGCCTGCTCCGCCCAGCCCTTCTGAGCTCTGCCACCCGCCAGGGCTGTGTACCTGTATTCATCTTCCAGAAACTCTCCTCATCTCCCCCGTGGGTTCTTGTGGATCAGTGTCCTCCCTTCTAAGAGCTAAAGCTTGTTTGAAACAAACACAGTGTATGTGTGTTTGCAGCGGAAGACAGTAGACTGTTCTCAATTTTGTCTGCAAGACACCGTCACTTAAGGGACAGATGGCAGCTGTCATTCACCAAGGCTGTCACTGTCAGCTCCGCACTGGAAAGCTGCAGGCCAGCTGCAGATGCTGCAGGCTGGTGACAAAAGCCACAGAGAAGACAGAGATCTGAAACAAAGATTAGAACTAGGTAGGTTACCTGCTCCAACTCTTAGATCAAGTTTGAAAAGGAACTGAAGATTCCCATGGAGGGTTCAGTCATGGGTTTATATAACTTGGGGTTTTGTTTGCAGTCATTGATAATGTGAATGGAAAAAACCCCACTTTTTTGGTGTGTGTTGTGTGTGTGTGTGTGAGAGAGAGAGAGAGAGCTTACCATGAAGGAAGGATTTACAATGGAAATATTTTAACTCTACGTGTCATGGAAGTTGTTTCAGCTTGCCTAAAATCTTGCTTGTTATGGCTGAACATACCTTGTCTAAGGCAAATGTCTTTGTAAGTTCATGAAATTCTCCTTAGCAAGCTGCTGGTCGGAGATTTGAAGCAGCGCCATGGAATTCCACGCGGGATCTTAGCGCAGCTAACACCCAGGCCGCTGCTCCACGCGGGGCTCTTAACGCAGCTAACACCCAGGCCACTGCTCCACGCAGGGATCTTAGTACAGCTAACACCCAGACTGCTGCTCCATGCGGGGATCTTAGTACAGCTGACACCCAGGCTGCTGCTCCACGCGGGGATCTTAGCACAGCTAACACCCAGGCCGCTGCTCCTCTTCCCCTCAGGTGGGCAGACACACTCGCAGCATCTCAGACAGTCTGGCTGCTTTGTTCTACTAGAACAATGTCCTGACGGCACAAAAGTGAAGGCTCCATTTTCCATACCAAACCCTGGGACAAAGGTGTGAAAACGACAGCGTTCTTAAAGCCAGCACAATGAGAGGCAGCGCCATTCTACTTCTAAGAAGCTCTCATTTCCCACCACTAAAAAGTTTGTGTGTGTGTATGTGTGTGCGTTCATATCTGTGAGTGAAGATGCGCGTGCGCCATGACACATGTGTAGAGGTCAGATGACTACTTTGGGTGCCCATCTCCACTTTCTACCTTGTTTGAGATGTCCTGGTCACTACGGCATATGCCCAACTAGTTGGCCCATGAGTTTCCAGAGATTATCCTCTTCCCATGTCCTGCTTTGAGTAGGAACGCTGTGCTACTGTGTCTAGTCTTTTGTGGGTTGTGGGGACCCGAAACCTGGTCCTTGCCCTTGGATAGCAAATGTTTACCCCTGGAGCCATCTCCCAACCCCTTAAATGCCCTCTTTTTTCAGGAGCGCACAGTATGAGGGATGCTAAGTAAGCATTGGGGGATTATACTTGCACAGGATGAGGGATGCTAAGCGAGGAATGGGGGTTATACTCCAGGAGGAATTATAGCAGCGGCTAGCTTTGAAAATGACCACAGGCAAATATTCTTAAGATGAAAATGAAGGAAATGACGTCACAGGTTGGTGTAGGTGGGGAAGGGTTTTGAAATGTTTATACTACACGGCTCTCATTCTGTGAATATCAGATATCCTGCATTTCAGATATTTAAATTATGATTCATAACAGTAGTAACACTACAGTTATAAAGTAGCAATGAAATAATTTTATAGTTGGGGGTCACCACGCCATGAACTGTATTAAAGGGTTGTGGCATTAGGAAGTTTGAGAACCACTGGTCTCCAGTGAGAATTCCAGGGGATGTGGCCAAGGGACTGAAAACATAAGAAGTAAACAGTTAAGCCGCGAAATGACAATGGCACAAGCCCCTCTGCATGTCTGTCTGATACGATGTAACTCATCCCTTTCCGAGCCTTTCCTGTTTTTTACAAACATCTCTTGCTTCTTGCTTGCTTCTATTAGGGTGGACATTGTAAAAATAAAAAATAACAGTGGAAATGAGGAGAGAGGGCAGAATGAGAACTCAGAAACCAGGAAGTGCCGAGACTGAGGTGAGGGCACATGAAGGCCCCTCCCGTGGTTGCCCCGTGGTAATGTGGCCCCAATGTGGCCCCAATGATGTGCCAGGTCTTCCAAGGTTTTAGGATACTGATGACTCTATGCAAAACTCCCTGTCTTTGTTTTATATTTTCCTGACTGCATCTTATCTGTATTCCAGGCTGGTCTTGCATTCACAGTCAATCTCCTGCCTCAGCCTCCCAAGCGCTGGATCACAGGTGTGCTGTCATCACGCCCAACACAACTTCCAGTTTTTAATGAGAGCAACTGAGTCTTTAAAATGAAGTGGTGTAGAGCAAAGACAATTTGTCCCTGGGCCATAAAGGGTCCCCACAGGTTAGTCTAAAAATTCCCTTCCTAGGGGGTTACCTCATGTGGCAAAGGTCCACACTATTTAACTGCGCAGTCTCCACAATCAAAGTTCTTCAGGAGTGATCTTGGCACAGGAATTCACAACTCTATGTGGTTAGCTAAAGTTTCCCAACAAGGTCTGGGCTTAGCATCTGCACAGACAAGCGAATCACTGTATGTTCTGTTCCCTGTAGGTTTTGGTTTGGATATCTGCTTGCCGGTTTTACATCCCTTCTCTTAGAGGAAGACAGGGGCGAATTCCTTATTTAGGGTAAAGACGGGAGCCACAAGGGATCTCCAAATCAGCGAGGTTGTTCCCACAAAAACCACTTCCTCTCTTTGCCTCTCCCGGAAATCAAGGCTGACCAGGATGGAATCATCTCCACCCCTCACATCAGGAAAAACACCTGGAATGTCACACCTGCTCCACAACATTCAGGGAATGAATGGGGCAAAGAACACAACTCCTTGATGTGTTTTCTATGATATCAGCTCCATCACCAACTTACCCTGAGGGAGAACCAAACTGCTTTATAATGTCAGGCCTCTGTATCTACTGAAGAAATCCTCTCCTCCCTCGTACCACTGGAAATCGAAACCAAGAACTCAGTCCAGTCATTCCTTATGGGGACGCCCACTTCCTCACAGTGCCCAGCAAACCAGAGACTGCTGTGCTGGCCACCTCGCTTTCCAGTTCTTTGACTCTAGAGTAAGCCTTTAAAGGGTGGCAGTGAAAAGAAGCTACCTGCCTTTTCTAGCACGTGAGGCTGCGTGTGTCTTCCCCACGCCTAATGTGGTCACAAACTCTAACTATATAGCAGCCAGACGCAGAACTGGAGGTTGAATGAGAGGGCAAGTGGAGATGAGGTGCCTCACTCTCTTTTGGCCAGATTTTCTGATTTTTTTTTTCTTTTCTGAGACAGGGCTTCTCTCTGTAACCTTGGCTATCCTGGAACTTGCTCTACAGACCAGGCTGGCCTTGAACTCAGAGATCCACCTGTCTCTGCCTCTGGAGAGTTGGGATTAAAGGCATGCACCACCACTGCCTGGCTGATTTTTTTTAATATTTATTTATTATGTATACAATATTCTGTCTGTGTGTATGCCTGCAGGCCAGCAGAGGGTACCAGACCTCATTACAGATGGTTGTGAGCCACCAGGTGGTTGCTGGGAATTGAACTCAGAACCTTTGGAAGAACAGGCAATGCTCTTAACCTCTGAGCCATCTCTCCAGCCCTGATTTTTTTTTTAAACAACTGAAAACTTCAAAGCCAAATATAACAAGCCTGTGGCCTGCCAGCTTCGACCCTGTGTATAATACAGAATTTTCCTGGGGTTTAGGAAGTATTTTCCAAGTAAAAGAGCAGGAAGATATGAAAACAAAACAAAACACAGAACAGGACAAAATAAAACAAATCACTGAAAGTTCCCAGATATAAACAGTGTATCCACTAAGAGCCAGCACCTTGCAGTAGGCTACTGAGTGTCTCATAGTTCCTAGCTAAGCTGTAGCCTCCCAGGACAATAATGGGGTCCTTTATGAAGGCTCATTTGTGAACTGACTACACCAGAGGTTCTCGCCTTCCTAACACTGTGACCCTTAATACAGTTCCTCATGTTGTGGTGACCTCCAACCATAAAATTATTTTCATTGCTACTTCATACCTGTCATTTTTCTGCTGTTATGAATCATAACATAAATGTCTGTGTTTTCAGATGGTCATAAGTGACCCTCGTGAAAGGGCCAGTTGAATGGGGGGGAGGGGTGTCGTGACCCACCTGTTGATTGATAACCACTGTTTTACTAGAAATAACTCAGGTTGCATCTTGAGTAAAGGCTGGTTTGGTTTCTCTAGTAAGAATGGAAGCAAAAAAACCAAACCAAACCAAACCAAAATACTCAACAGTAGGTTTTGATCAACTTGCAATCGTGTAGAGACACATTGTTCTTTAAATTTTGTTTTGAAGTATGTGTGGGTCTGTCTGTCTGTCTGTCTGTCTGTCCAGGGCACCCACAACAGACCACTGGGTCCCTGGAGTTGCAGGCAGTGATAATCCACCCAGCATGGGTACCAGAATGAACTGGGATTTCCTGGAAGAGCAATGAGAGCTCCTAACAGCTCAGTCATCTCTCCAGCCCACAAGCATCCCAGTGAGATGAAAGCAGAGCAGGATACGTAAGGGAATTGTGAGAATCTGCTTTATTATTTATTTTTCCAATTTTAACTATTTATTTAAATATCATTTATCTGTTTGTGTGCTTATTTATTTATTTTGGTGAGTATACGTGCAAGGGTGTGTGCAGGTGCCCATGTAGGTGCCAGAAGAAGGTGCCGGACTCTGGAGCTGGCATTACTGGCACTTGTGACCTTCTCCCCCATGTGGGTGCTGGGATCTGAACTCTGGTTCCCATAGCAGCACAAGAAGTCCTCCACCACCACTTAGCAAACTGCCCCACCCCTTATTCTCTGGGTTTCTCCCTTTCTTTCTTTTCTTTTTTTGGCTAACAAATCCCAGGCTGGCCTCAAACTCAATATGTAGCCCAAGGAAGACTTTGAACTTCTGATCCTCTTGCCTCTGTCTCCTGAGTGCTGGGGTTACCCCACGTCATCCGTCTGGCACTGGAGAGTGATGTGCAAGCCAACACTCCACCAGGGAGCTACACCCCTGCTCCAGTGATAGACTTTGTTGGTCTGAGTTTGTTCTTTATAGCACATTCTACACTCCAGAAGTTATCCGTTTCTGGGTAACTTCTTTTGGGGCTGTCAATCACAAGACAGCATCAAGTCTGGCCAATTAGAGAGTTCCATTTCCTGGATGCAATGGTTGTTCCAGACTTCAGCCCAGCCATCGAAGAGCTAATCTTCCCTCACTGGGTGAGGACATGGGATGATATGACCAGCAGTAGGACCCTGGAGCTCTGGAGCTCTGCCCTAAATCTAACCAGTACCCCTATATCACAAACCCAGTAATGTCAGAGGCCAATTCTGGGTTCCTATAAATCACCGTTGAGAGTCTTGAATAACAAAAACCATCTGTGCTTCCTGTCTTTCCATAAGGAGAGCATGAGCCTGATACAGTTGACGGAAAACGAGCATCTGAATTGTGCAACTGTGCTCCAGCCTCACGATACACTGACAATTCACATTTTATAGTCTATGCTTTTAAATATGTCAGCAAATTATCATTTTCGATCCCACTATTTCAGAAGTGATTTTTTTGCACTTTTTACAACCAATGCCACATTTAGTACCAAAAATTGAGGAACTGTGGAAAGACATAAGCAGGGGGTGGGGGATTTCTAATTTTAGAAAATAAGATCGAATTAACTTGCATTTTACACATGACTGTATTTTTGGACATATGCAATGAGGTAGATAATTCAGGGAGCTGTTCTGAAGATGAAGTATAGCTTAAGAAGACAAACTAAGTTTACAGCCGCGTGAAGCCAACTCTGGCAAAGTGTTTATTTACAGAGGCATCAGAACCCTTGCATTGATCCTCTGTGAAGAGTCTGTGGGAACCCTGATAGTGAAGGGCACAGTGAGGAGACCTTCAGAATGACAGTGATGCTGAGGCCATGTGAGAATGTCTTCCAGCTTAGGTGTTAGCTCAGACCCCAGTGGGTCAGGGAGCACGCTCACCTCCTCCCAGGGAGCACCTCATCTCCTCCCAGGGAGCTTCTCACCTCCTTCCGGGGAGCACCTTATTTCCTCCCAGGGATCATGCTAACCTCCCAGGGAGCACCCTCACCTCTTTCTCACAGTGAGCATGTTCACCTCCTCCCAGGGAGCACCCTCACCTCTTTCTCCCAGGGAGCACCTTCACCTCTTTCTCCTAGGGAGCACCTCTCCTCTTTCTCCCAGGGAGCACCCTCACCTCTTTCTCCCAGGGCAACTCACCTCCTCATTCTCGATCTTGAGTGTGGCCAGTCGGGACTGCAGCTGCTGGTTCCGGAGCATGAGCTCCGCCTGGACTGGCTGCTGCGCGCTGACCTGACACACCTGACACAGAAGCAGAAAGCACAGTTATGACAGGCACCAGCAGCAGCCTCAAAATCATGAGTATCATTTGTCGGGTGTGGGTGTGAGCGTGTGTCTGTGCATGCATGTGCTCGCTTGTTTGTGTGTACATGGAGGCCAGCAGTCAACTTTGGGGTGTCTTCATCTATTGCTTTTCAGGGTGTTGGCAGCTTACAGAATCCTAACCACCACAGGGCAGAGGGAAGAGGGCAGAGAGCAGAGGGTAGAGGGTGGTCTAGGTGGACTGCAAGGGCAGAAGGAAGGGTCAGGGAGGTCACAGAGCTTGTTGTAGGGCTCTGCAGCCAGGAAGCTGTGCCTGTACGCCCGGCCTGCCTTCTACCTGTGCGATTTCAATTTCCTGCTCTACAAGGAGGGATGATGAGACTCCTAATCCTGGGCTGCTGCTACACTGAAGTGATACAATGTATACGAATACAGACCGGTCAGAAAAGTGCCTTTTTACAAAAGTATATTTCAATCATGGCTACTAGCCAGCATCAGTTAAATCATATGACTCACCACAGACATCACAAGGTAAATTATCTTTGGTATTGGAAGGAGATATTTTGGGCAAGATTTCAATGATGGATTTGGTCAAAATGAAAGCATCATTAAGATTGGGCATGAAACAAACACTTCCTTTTCATCCTCCTGGGCACAGAAATTGTCCTGGCTGATGAAGGATCCTTCTCATGGAGCAACAGAACATTAGAGGTTACTGCTCCTTAGCAGAGATGGCCATAAGAAAGGGAACCGGACCACCCCGTTAACAGTAAGGAAACTCTTCTGATTGAAGCCTGTCTGTGACTTTTACCACTCCATGTTAGTATATCCGCAATGGAAAATAAAAACAGCAACTATTTGACTTTGGAAAGACAGTGATGGGTAGGATAAATACTTAGCTTGTTGACATGTGTGTGTTTGATACCTGTGTATTGACACATGTATGTGTGATACTGGGTGTGCTGACACAGACCTGTGATCTCAGTGCTCTAAAGGCTGAGGCAGGAGGATGATGAGTTCAAGGCAAGATACTGCCTTAAAAACAAATGAAAATCTCATATTGGTAGGAGAACTGCACCTATAGAAAAGGCTGCAGATTTCAGAGGTCCGTGGATTTGGGGATACTAACACAGCCTTTAGCAGTCGAGTGTCCCTATCTGAAAATCCTCAATGCAGAATGTTCCAAACCCTGAAGCTTTTGAGCAGACTTGTATCATCTTTTTCGAATTTTGGGATTAAGGATGTTTGATCTGGACTCATCATTTTTCATCAAGCAATTTACTAAATAAAAATAAAACTTACTAGAAACACAGTAGGTATAGACATATTTATATCTATCTATATTTATTTACCTATTCATAGATCTATAATATATCAATTATCTATATGTAATCAAGCAATCTCTCTACTTATCTATTACTTAATTATCTATCACTGATAATACACTTTATAAAATTTCCCCCTGGTTTCTTCTGTTCATAGATAATGTATGTTGTTATAATTTATGATCAGTTAAAGTGGCTTTCTTTCTTCTTTTTTTTAAAAATCAGGATAGAAGCTTACATTCATAAACAGAATACATGGCAGGGGCTGGAGAGATGGCTCAGTGACTGAAGCGTATGCCGCTGTAGCGGAGGACCCATGTTCGGTTCCCAGCACCCACAGCTCTTGGTAACTTCAGCTCTAAGGTATCTGATGTCCTCTTCTTGCTTCTGTGGGCATTGGCCTCAGGTGCACACTACACACACACACACACACACACACACACATACACACATGCGCGCACGCATATACACACATACACACACATTCACGCGCACACACACACATACACACAAACACACACACACCCAACTACATCTTAAAACCCTTTCAAGGCAGCTCAGTGTGGTAGCTTATATACAGCCTCAGCAGCTGGGAGATGGAGAATCAAGAGTTCAGGGCTAGCCAAGGCTACAGTGTGAGTCTGAGGCCATCCGGCCTAGATGAGGCGCTGTCTCTAAAGGAGAATACGAGATATAATAAATGACACACGAAGAGACAACTGGCTCTTACAAAAACAGTCAGTTACTGACCTCATCACCCATATGAGACTGAAACTCAAACTTCATTGGTGGACAGAAGGCAGCAGGGTACATCTCCATGAATCTCTGCTTGTCGCTCCTTGGCTCTAAATTGTCAACAGCATTTTCGATAATGTCCAAGCCTTCATGCCTGGAGGTTTCAAGGTTGTACTCTGCTGAGAGGTACGTTCTGAGGGCTCTGTTCAGACTTGCATGGTAGCCAAGATCACAGCACTTGAGAATACACAAGAACACAGATAGAAATGTTAGTTCAAAACCAATTAAAGGTCCAGATGTGTGTTGTGGCCTATGAGCATGAGACCCAGAAGATCATGACATCGCATTAGGCACGGGTTTCTTGGCTAAGACATCAAATGCCCATGAGCAACCAAAGAAAAATTAATCTCAGTTACATTCATGCCTTTCAAGATTTAAAAGACATTATAAAATCGGAGGGGCAAACCAGAGTGAGAAAGATGTTTGTAAAGGAATGTGAGTCTAAATATATAAAGAACTCCTGCAACTCAACAATTCAAATTGTCCAAGCAGAAGAAAGGCGGGGTCTCTGAATAGAGACCGGGAAGATGGAAGAGAAATGGTCAACAAGGATATCAGAAGACACTGGCGATCACTGGTTATGGGGGAAACAGAGAAAAAGATTGTCAGAGGAGGCTGGCGATGGCTTGCAATTATTAGTGCTTGTTGCTCTCCCAAAGGGCCTGGGTTTGATTGGGGCACACAAGTGGTGACTCACAACCGTTTGTTAACTCCAGTCCAGGGGATCTGATGCCCCCTTCTGGCCTCTGTGGGTACTGCATACAAATGGTATACAGACATACATCAGGGCAAAACCACCCACGTACATAAAACAAAATAGATAAATTTAAAAAAAAAAAAGAGGAGCTAACTCACACACATCAGCATGGAGATTCAGAATGGTAGATGCCAGCATGAGCTGGAATAAACTGGAACCCTAAAACACTGTTGGTGGGAGAGGGAGGTCCTAAGTCTCTTTGTCACCAGTTTCTCAAAAGGTGCTATTCTATGTGCTGGAATAAACTGGAACCCTAAGACACTACTATTCCAAGACTCTGGGCTGGGGAGGTGGCTCAGTGGGTAGCTATATTTGTCTGCATATGCAGAGGGATCCGAATTCATACCCTGGCACATGTGAAAACCAGAGAGTAGCTGTGCACGCCTGCAACCCTTGCACTACGAGTGTGTGGAGACAGAACACTTCCGTTCCGCAGAGACCCTGGGTCAAAGGAATTGGGTGGAGAGTGACAGGTAAGGTCTCCCTGTGACTTCTACATGCACATGCAATATACATGTATGCACACACATGTTTACATGCTCACAAGTCAGCAATTTCTCCTGAGGTACAGATGCCAGAAAAATGAAGATTACTTGCGCCTGAGTATTTACAGCAGCTTTAATATAACAACCCGAAACAGTGTAAATGTCTACTACTCAGTGAAGAGATAAATAAATTCTCATACTATAACAACCCGAAACAGTGTAAATGTCTACTACTCAGTGAAGAGATAATAGATTGTCATGTAGCCATACACTGGAGTAGTATTTAGCCATGGAAAGGAATGATATAAAAAGTTACAAAATGAAAAAAGAAAGGAACAAAATATAAATCCATGTTACAACATGGATGAACTTTAAAAATCTTATGCTCCCTAAGTGACGTCAGTCACAAAGAACTGTGCACTGTATGAACTCATTTAATATGCAGCGAAGGACAGAGACAGCTTGAGACAGAAGATACACTGGCGGCTGCCCAGTGCTAGGGGACAGACGAATTGGAGGGGGCGACTGCTGAGGGGTGCTGAGGGGTGCAGGAGGTGGTAATAAAAATGTTCTAGAATTCATTGTAGTGACGGGTCCACAGCTCTCTGAATGTGCTAAATGCCAGTAGTAGGCCATGCGTGTGCGGAGGAGCCAGTGCATTACACATAATAAAGCTTTCAAAACTGCTATGGCAGAGCCCGAGCCTGAAAGGAAACAATGAAGAATAGTATCCAAGTTTCATTCACTCAATGCTGGGACTGATAGAACAATTTATTCAAATCCTTCTAGGAGACAAAAAAATGCTAAGTGAGACTCCAGATTTGCATATTTTATTGACGACTTGAGACTAATCAGCATTGTAGAAGGGAACAGGCTTGAGTCTGTCAAAACATTCAGAAACGCTTTCCCTTAAATCCCCGCAGAAAATTCTGAAATAAGCAATGGTTGCTAATGTCCTTTTCAGGCAGAACATATTCCTCAGAACTAAAGAGAGGTGAGAGGGCTGGAGAGGTGGCTCAGTGGTTAGGAGCATCTACTGTTTGCACAGAGGATTGGGGTTCAAGTCCCAGCATCTATGTAGGTGGTTCGCACCCGCCTAGAACTTCAGCTCCCGGGGAATTCCGCGCCCCAGGCCTCCACGGCACCTGCACGCATATGCACACTCCACACAGATGCAGAAACATAATTAAAAATAAAAGTCATTTATTTTAAGGAAAGAGCTTTGAGGTACCCCCACCCCTGAGTCTTTACTACCTTTATTCTGTACCGTTGTTCAACCTTCGTGCATCTTAAGCAAATGTGATTTAAAAGAAGTATGGAAGCCTGGAAGTGAGCCAGCAATTACTGACAACAGAATGTGTTACATTAAAAAAAAAAAAAATAAATTCCTTAAAGAGGAAACACACAGTTTTAAATAGACAAACCCAGATCATCTCCATGTTGCTCTAATGAAGTCAATCAACTCAGCTTGATGCAGTTCAAATCATTAATCGGCCAGGTGCCAGGGGCTATGCTGGGTTCCAGGCACATTGAGGCCGGGGCACAGTGAAACAGTTCCATACTCAAGGAACCGGAACGGAAGCTGTTCATTAGTTTGCTGCTAAGATAGCAGGATGGGAGCATACGGGAAGCAGCTTGGCATAGGCAGCAGCTCCTCCAGGCTACGGAGAACAACCAGTCTGCGCAAAGGGACATACTGAATTACATGCACTTAGAAACACCAAATGCCAGGCTGGAGGCATAACTCAGTGGCAGGTGCTTGCGTAGTGCACCCAAGGCCCTAGGTGTCTTTCCCTGGGACTGCAACCCAATCTTGTCCCTCCACTTTCAATTTCCATATTGTTAAAATGGGGGCTTTAAGACAAAGTTACTGTGACATCCTGTTACTCAAAATATAATCAGAAGTAATAGCTTCATGAGGGGCTTGTTAGAAGTGCAGAATATTGGGCCTGTGATATGACTCAGCAGGTATGGGGGCTTGCTGCCAAGCCTGAAGATCTGAGTTTGATCCCCCGGACCCTCACACGGCGCAAGGATAGAACCGACTTCCACAGACTAGTCTCTGACCTCCATGTGCTTGCTATGGCCTGTGCTCCCACACACAATCCCTACAAAATCACATAGAAAACATACTTAGAAACCCTCTAAAAATGCAGACTATTTGGTCCAGCCCCTGACCTATTAATTTGAAATCTGAAATTTAAGAAGGCTGCATAGTTGAATGATTAAAACGCTGGCGACATTCCCCACCCCCCAGCACTCAGTGACAGGGTCATGTGACTCTGCCCCTTGGGGGGGGTGCTGCTTCCCCAGCCTGACGAGAGGATTTGATTAAATATGCCTTACAAAATCAGAAACGGCTATGATATCACAATGGCAAACACCACAGTTGTGAAACGTAGCAATTGGCTCACCATCGCTCGTCTCCAGTGACATCAGCTGCACCCAAAGACAGAGAGAGGATTCATTTGGGCTAATTTGGAAATTCTAGTCTCAAATGGATAAAGGCTTCTTTCATTCCTTTTGCTTCTCCCGATCCACAATGGCTCCCTACAGTTTTGTGTACATCAAAGGGATTGAAAAATCATTCTATCTTTCAATAACATCTTGTTTTATAAAGACACGGGGTTGTAAAGGAAATGGGCCTCATTTCTCTAAGAGGAACTAGCGCTTAAAGAGTCCACGATTCAAAAAGAAGACAGATTCTTCTACCTGATTATAAGGAAGCAGGAAGACCTGCTGTTTTACTTTGTAAGTATTGATCCGGGTGGGAGAGTTAATAAAACAAGCGGGAATAGAAGAAAGCAATGGAGAAAGGCTTTTTATTCCTTACACAACCTGCATTCCTTAAAACAAGAGGAAGGATGAATGACGGAAGGAAAAGGGGAAGGAAGGAAGGAAGGGAGGAAGGGAGGGAGGGAGGGAGGGAAAGAGGGAGGGAGGGAAGGATGGAGGGGGTAGAAGGTAGGCTGGGGGAAGGAAGGGGGAGGGAGAAAAAAAAAGAGGGGAAAAAAGAGGGAGGGGACCAAAAGATTTCTAACCCCAACTGACCTGGTGTTTTGAAGAACACCTATTAAGTTTCTGTTATTCCTCGACTCGATCAGTTCACTGCACAAAAAGACTAAAGTACCCAGTGTGTTTCCTATCTCCAGGGTAGCCGCGTGGATTCTGTCCGTGTGAGACCTAGTCTCACCATGGGTTCCTAAGGGGCTGGTGGAACAGCCATGAGGCTTAGCTGCCGTGAGGCACTTCTGGCTTGCCTTCCTACGTTCAGGAGGCTTTTGATGGGCAGTCGCCTTCTCCAACCCCCATAGTGCTCATCCGTTGGAAAGTCACTTGGTTGGCATGAGTTTATTATGCCTGTTATGTAGTATTTCTGAATTCTAGGCTTCTCAAGCATCTTGAACATAGAAAAAAAAAAGAAACAGGAAAAAAAAAAAAGCTCTTTGAGGTCCCCTGAGAGCAAGCCCAGCCATAGAAGTCTCCTTTTTTCTAGACTAGAACTTGAAATGACATTGGATATATTAGGGCTGAAGATATTTGGCTAAAGACGGTCTCAAGTAATTCTGTGGGGCTTATGAAATATTAATGAGATCTGAAAGGCGTCCGCACAAAGAGCTTGTGGTAGCCCAAGCACATTTAATGATGGAAACACACAGGAAACCAATAAACTATTTCATTCAAACAAATCACTGTTATTCTGGCAGATGAAGAAAGAACTCTAGAGGGGTACATAAAATTGTGAACCAAAAATTGAGAGAAGGAAAGACTGTTGGAATCAAAAGTGTGCATTAAAAGGAAAAAAAAAATCCCAAGAACTGCCAAGGTGAAGCCTCCTAGGTGTTAGTCCAATAAAAGCAGGGTGACTTCCTCAGCCCAAAGACTTGCCACCAATATCAGACAGAAGATGAGAGAGACCTAAGCACTGAGGACAG